AGTTAGGCCACTGACAGGCAATTGTTGTCTCCATTTTGGCCGCAATTTGTGGCTTCGTTTCAGTCACTTCTGGCAATTCTGGGACATTGGGTGTCATATCATCCGTTTTGATGGATTCACTGGTGATATACTTATGCGTACGAGTGATATGTTTGTTGAGATTTTTCTTTATTTTGTACCCTTTGTCACAATAACTGCAAACAAAACTCTTAATAGCTTTGCATTTGAGATCTTTTGGTGACATTTTGTTGTCCACACCATTGGTCTCATGAATAATGGCATCACTCGCACCGACACTCTTAGTGTTCATTAGTTGGTTACTACACTCTACTGTCACATCTAGTCTTGGAGTGGATTCACCATCTGATGCCTCATTGATGTCGATGTCAATACATTTGGCACTCTTATCGTCTGGTTTATGGTGACAACCATTATCTGTAATACCGTTACACTCAACGAGTTCTTTGATGTGTTCTTTGGGGATGTGTTGAGACAAACAGTCCGTCACTTGATATTGAGTTGACTTTTCTGTTCAATCAATGCATAAGACATAAGACATTGGAGTAAATGACAGCAATTGAGAGCAATGTTTGCCTTCAATACCTTTGAAGAGACGGTGGACAGGGGTGTCGAGTGATGGGTGTCTGGGGAGACATACTTTGGCTGATTTGTCGCATTCAGAGATCATCCGGATTTGGGACAACAGCTGTGTCTGAGTTGATCTCAATTTGCTGTTCGTCTGCTTTCGAGGACTTCTTCGGCGATTGCCATTCATTTGGATGCAGTTGTGGTAGAGTTTGTCATAGAAGTGGTTCAGCAGTTGATGTCTGGAGAGCAATGTCTTGAGTCTGTGTTTGTCTCTATGAATGGACTGTATTTTGCAAATCAATTGACTTTTGTTTAATTCAATTAATTGACTCATTGTTTGATTGTTTGACACAATTTCATAGACTGTATGCCAAACACTCATCACTAATAAATCAATACAAAGTCCATTCATACAAAACGTATCACATTTGCCACACATTGAGCGCCCCTTTCAATGCACTCATAGGCTATACTGTGTATGAATACAAGCCATAGAACACACCCTTTGATGACATAATTGATTGAGTGAGTGAGTGGTCACGTGTGCACTGATTGCGTGCTTTTGTTTTGCTTATGAATTGGCGCTTATTTGCAGTGAAAGTGTTGAACCCATCGGACACTCGACCACTCATTCAACTGATCCCTCAGTAGTGATGTCTTTGTCACAAATACCACAAACTATCTTCAAATGTGAACCATTCGTCTGCGCCCTCAAAGGCAACCAGAAGTCNAAGTGTTGAACCCATCGGACACTCGACCACTCATTCAACTGATCCCTCAGTAGTGATGTCTTTGTCACAAATACCACAAACTATCTTCAAATGTGAACCATTCGTCTGCGCCCTCAAAGGCAACCAGAAGTCTATCCGATGTGACCATTGCTTCAAAAGGTATGCATTTGTTTGGCACTGATTTGTCATTTGATTTGATGTCCAATCGGTTCCAGTCTGGAGACACAACAGTCGGTTATGTGCGACACGTGTCTGAAGTACTGGTATTGCAGTGACTCGTGTCTCAATAGTCACGCTGTGGTGCATCGCTTTGAATGTCACGCGAACTATGACTTGGCGGAAGTGATCGCCAAGAAGTGCAGCGCACCGGTAGTGCGGGATGAGTCCGATTGGTGTAAATTCAGTGATTTGGACGAAATGGTGACACAGACTCTGCTTCTGTTGCGGATTCTATTTCGCCTCAAATCAGAGCCCAGTTGTGCCACAAAAGCACATCCGATGGGCAATGGTTTGAGCGTCAGTTACGACCAAATCAGAGCTCCGGTGTGTCAACAGATGCATAAAGTGTGGGACGACGAGGACATCTGTGACACCGACAACGGCCTCAACATTAAGACCATTGATGAGGTGTCCTATAACTTCGGCGCCTGGCTTTCAGTAGTGAGAGATGTACTGCACGCGGAGTTCATTGAAACCAATTTGGGAACCGTTTCCGAGGCAGACCTACTGAAAGCCTTTCGAGTCGTATGTGTTTTGTATTTCATTAATAAATTGTTTGCTTTTATATGTCATTACTTAATGGCTGTATTTGATGAACAGGTGGTTCGCTATACTCTGTATGTCAGTGACACCACGTGTCTCAATGAGATCGGGAAAGCCATATATATTGAGATGTGTTTTATAAGCCACTCCTGTGTCCCAAACTGTGGTCCACTCTTTGATGGCGATAATGTCCTGAACCTCAGACTACTGGTCAACGGTGTGACCGATTGGTCTGAACTGCGATATGACTATCAAATAGAGATGACTGGATATCCGGCTCAGGAGTTATCCGAGTCTCTGGTGATGCGCGACATTGAATGCAATTGTCTAAAGTGTGTGGATGTGAGCCAGCATTCAGTGAATTTGCACAAAGCGGTCACCACTGCTAACCTCAAGTACGGCAATTGGCCCGCATTTGACTACTGCCACGCCATGATTGCGCCCATCGATGACGCACTCGACAGCTTCGCCAAGATATACGGCAAATATCACCCGTGGATTAGTGCCCTTTTGCTCTGGAAGTTGAAAGTCGAGTGCAGTTTATATAACTGTGAAGAGAACGAAGACATTACTAAACAGCAAATCTTTACTACTTTTAGACGACTCAAAGACACCGTAAGTATAATATTTGATCCGATCATAGGATTACAATATTTCTTGCATTTCATTGTCCTATCGTTTAGCTTTCGGTAACTCATGGTCCCGATCACGTCTGGTCTCACAAATTGAAATCAATTGACAATTCATTTGAACATTTTATGGTTACGGACACCGATTCTGTGGATTCTGATGATTTGCTCACTATTGACAGTACTATAGAGCAGATCATTCCGCGGACAGTAATTGAGCAGAAATTAGCCTAAATTTATGATTTCATTGATTATGAATTTGTTATTTTTGATTAACTTTCAAAATGTACGTAAATTTATTTAATTAAATGATTATTTTTATTTAAAACTTGAAGTTTTCTTTGAAATCACGTAATATTGTGGTATAGATACTGCACACTACATGTACGGTATAATACGTGCTTTATCTCAATGTTCAATACAATAGAGTGTATTAAATATATTACAGAATAATTCATAGCCTGTTGTCTGAAAAATTTGTTGAATAATGAAATTTGTATAAAACATTTCGACAAAGATATGAAAAGATATACTTTTGGGAAATATATTGTGTGTATTTGATGAGAATAAACATCTTTCAAATGCTTTCTATAATACATTGCAATACATATAGACATAAATTATAAGAGTATTGATGTTAACATTATTTTATTGCTAATACAGCACTCTATCACAAGAATTTGAGGCAAATTTCATTTATAATAAGGTAGAAATATTTCTCTCACAAAAATACATTATAAGAGTAAATATCATTCAAAAGGAATGCATTCATTAATATATTTATTATAACAACACTATTACACAGTATTGTAGACTTGTTTGACTAGAATTTCATTGTAATAATAGCATACAGGATGCAGAATAAAAATAATTGAAATGATTTTTTCTTTTTATTACTTTTATGAGCGGTTTATTCCCTACAAAACGATTATATCATTGCACAGAAGCTACCAAAATGTTGGCAAAGTTTTTTGGTAAATTAGAAATTAGTTTTCAATTTTAATCCTTACTATGTTTGACGGTTTGCTGTGAATTGTTTTGTGGAAAGAATTCATATTTTTGAGTAATTCATTAAAAATTCATTTTATAATAATATGTTTCCAGCCTCTCTTGAAGACATCAACCGATTGATCGATAAACTGCTGTAACTCTAAAGGGAATCCTTTTTTCAGCAATTTTGTTCATTCATGAGTTAAATCATGAGTTTTTCAATATTGTAGTCGAAATTCAAATAAATGCTTTTATGCACAAATTCTGTTATATTCATATATTTCTGCAATTCTTTTGTCACAAACTCTTTTGAATTAAACATCAAGTCTTCGTCTAATGCATCTAATAGTAGACTAATGTAATGCACAGTACTTTACAATTAATTATACACTTTTCCACAGATTAAAAGTAATAGTATGAGTAAAGAACTGAATAATAAGTGTATTGTACCCGTATAAACAAATTAAATATATCCACAACTAATTGATAGAGAAAGGTTATTGATTTTGTTGCAAACATTATCATAATATACCACATATTTGTCAAACGTTTGCTAGTTATGTCTTACAAAGAACTCAATATTTATGTCAAACATGGATTCATTAATCAGTAGTAAAGCAATGATCATATATTACATCAAATAAAAGCATTGCTTCCATTCAATCAAATTTAAAAGAGGAATCAAATTGAAATTCTTATCTTTAAAGCATTGAATAGATATTTCAGTCAATCATGTGTGGCCAACTATTTATATGCTTAAACTAATTAAATCTAACATTTATCCTTGTATACAGTATTAGTCAATTTATATTAAACCACCTCCAGATTTAGCCAAATGTAGCAAATACTGCTTTCGTATGATTTATCTTACATTCAAACACATTAATGATTAAAGACTACGAAAGCTATATCCAGTGTCTTTTCTCGTATATATGGGTGGGTTTTATATAAAGATTTAACCAAATGTAGCAAATACTGCTTTCGTATGATTTATCTTACATTCAAACACATTAATGATTAAAGACTACGAAAGCTATATCCAGTGTCTTTTCTCGTATATATGGGTGGGTTTTATATACATTTTCATATATTATATTATATTGATATTCGGTATTATAAATGAGAATTTCATTCAGATTTATTCTGTATGTTATTGTTATGTGAATACAATTAGGTTATCTTGTGTGAATCTGTGTACTTCCAGTATTTATATTTGCTTATTCAATATCTTAATCTTAATGAAATGAGTCTCATTGTGTCTATGTATACAGTATTTAGTTTTCAAACATACAGCAGTATTTATTTTATTTTGTATATGAAATAAGTTTTATTTGCATTTCATGTTATATATTCCTTAGTTTTGCATTAAATTCATGAAATAATTATACACTATCCTTTGGGGAATGAAATTGGCAGTAAATCTAAAGGTAATTTATAAATTGAATTTAAGTTTAATTGTGAAATCTAATAATTTTATTTGAAATGTGTGTTCATAATGATTAAAATGGTGTGGCCATTTTATTTTTATCATTTGTGGTACCGAAGTAATCCACATCTAAAGAGGTAGTT